ATTGGAGAAATTATCTATTTTCTCTTCGATCTTTATTATATAAACATTCGAATGATTCAAACAAATTATATGGTAAATCGAAGTTTATTAATTCAAATACTTTTATCATGTGGTATGACCGATTGAACTATCCAAGGTCCTTCATGATGCCAAAATTATTGAAAATTTATATGAAAATCAATTGAAGTGGTAGAAGATTCTTCAATCTAATAAATTTTTATATTCTGTATTTTATCAAAGCAAAATGATTATTAAGTCATCACCAAGTAAAATTAAAATTGAATCACAAGTATTTTTAGAATGTATTTAAGGTAATATATGTGGAATAATCCATCCACCATGTAGACCATTTAGATATTTTATAATTTTAATATATGTATCCATAAGATTATCATATGTATGTTTATTATCAATTTGAAACCTAACGTTTTCGAGATTGTTCACCCAAATAATTCGATTACGAGCATAAGTTTTAAATTATGTCATTAAAATACTTCACCTTGACAATGTCGGTAAATCTACCTCTTAAACATTTAATGATTATTGCATGGCTATTAGAATAAAAGTTAAACAATATGTTGCTCATGTTCATACTCGAATGACTTAACAAAATTATATATAAAAAAACTCCAATTGATAGCTAGATCGTTATTTATAAAAACAAAACTCTCTATTTATATATGAGGACCTACAATCTTACACGCAGAAATTCTTATTCGCATTAGATGCACAAATTGTTAGAAAATTCTCCTCTTTTCAATTAGCTTTTGATCATGAACCAAATATTTCCTATCTAAAAATTTTTTTTGTGTGTAGTATATGTCCATGTTACTCCTCTACAATGAACTAAAATGGACTCTAAAAAAAGATTGAAAATATATGTTGAATATGAATATCCTTCAATACTTAAATATTTTGAATCATTAACAAGAAATATTTTCACGACTTAATTTTTCGATTGTCATTTTAATGAAATAATTTTTCTAACATTAGGAGGAGAGAATAAGCAAAACAAGTAGTTAGAAATGTTAGAAAAAAGATTATATGGAGTACTCCATCTCACATGTTCTTGATCCTAACACAAAATAATGTGAACTAGAAGTTTAAAAGATAATTCATTTAAAAAGTCTTACAAACCAACTCGCTAGATGCATTCTCGGATCCAAAAAGAGTAATTAAAACACATGTCATTGTTGAGAATACTCTTAATAGAATTGATGTCCTAGTAGGACAACACATTAATGTTATTGCAAATGAATATAAAACACTCCTAAAGTGTAAAAGATCGATCAGTTCTAAAGAAAAAAATTTCGAAAGAAAAGAAGAAAAAATAATCAAGATAAAAATATAAAAGAGGCGAGATACTCATAAAACGAGTCGAAGATATTTTTCATAACAAGCTTCTAGAAAAATCCAAATGTTCAAGGAAAATTAAGAGATTTCGATAAATTATGTTGATACATAGAGAAAATAGGATCGAAAAGAAATATTTATTGATAATATTTGTATATATAATATTGTAATTGATATTTTGAATGAAAAATAAGGATTTTGAAACTAAGTTTATTGAAGAACATCGATATATAGATGATTGGCTCGAATAGAAAGAGTCAATTCAGACAGAATTATAATCTCTTACAAAATGAACATTTTTTTGACCCATAGTTAAAACATCCAAAGATGTCAAACCAATGAGATACAAATGGGTATTTATGTAAAAACAAAATGAGAAAGATGAGATTGTGAGATGTAAAGTAAGACTTGTAACACAAGAGTTTTTGTAAAAACCTCGACATTGACCATAAAGAGACGCATTCTCTTATAATGGATGCAATTATATTTCTTTATCTCCTTAGCTTGATAACATATGAAAAACTTCATACGCATTTAATGAAAGTGATCATAATTTATTTGTTCAATGGAAAATGATATCTATATGAAATTCTAAAAAAAAGTTAAGATACCCGAAATATGTAATACACATTTTCGAAAAATATTTTCAATTTAACTATAAAGATCTCTATAAGGATTAATTTAGTATTTTTTATTTGTTTTAGAAATTCGATTTATTCTATAGTTTTTACTATCCACTCTTTATAACTAATCTAGACACATATGATTTAATTGCCTTAGTGAATATTTATTGAAAAACGATTATAGAAATGACTCTATTTGTTCATGTGTTTTTATAAAAAATATCAAAAAGGGATTTATGATAATTGTTGTATATATTGATGATTTAAATAGTATTAGAACTCCAGAAGAAATTCTAATTGTCATAGGTTATTTAAAATGAGAATTTGACATTGAAAGATTATGAGAAACAAAATTTTATCTTAGCTTACAATTCGAATACTTAAGGGATGTGATTTTTATTCATTAGTCAACTTGTATAGAAAATTTTTACAATGGTTCTATATGGATAAGGTTCATTGTTTGACTCGTTTAAAGGCAGACTTGTTCACTTGATATCCAAAACGATCTTTTTCAGCCTCAAAAAGATAACAAAGAACTATTTGGTCCTAAAGTACCATACGCTAATGTAATTGGTGCACCGATATTTATTAATAATACTTGACCTAGTATAGTTTTTTAGTAAATGACAAGTCGGATACCCACACTATGTTGTGGACGGACAACCGTTACATACGTAGGGTTAACGATTCATATTGTGTAATGTCGAAGAAAGTTTTATTTTTTGTGATTAATATAAATCAAATCTATATATAGTCAATTTATAATATATATATATATATATATATATATACATATATATATATAGATTGAGAGTATATAGAATAAATAGAAAAATATGCAAAAAAAACCCATCTAAATTGTAGAAATATATTGAAGTCAATAGATTAAAATAAAAACTACAACAAAATTGGTTCTAATAAATTCTGAATAAATATATATAAAAAAACAAATAAAACTCTTGAATTTTTTAATTCATTATTTAAAAAAAAAAAAGAGTCAACCTATCTTAAATATGCTTTTATCTCTCTCTCTCTCTCTCTCTCTCTCTCTCTCTCTCTCTCTCTCTTATATATATATATATATATATATATATATATATTAAAAAATAAAAAACTCATTTAAAAATAATTTATTGTATAAATTATAACAAAAAATAAAACATTGACGTTGTAAAATTTTATCCCAAAATTCATATATTAAAAAACCAAATTTATTAAGAAATAAAATTATATCAAAAAATTATCAGTCATTACAAATTTACAATAAAATTAAAAATTAAAAATGTTTCAAAATGACCATTGTAACCTAAAAATATATTTGTTAATCATGAGCCTTATATATGTGTGTGTGTGTGAAGAAAAAAGGAAAGGAAAGAATGTCGACCGGGGTACCAAGGCTTGGCTATATGAAAAAAAAAAAAAAAGAGGAGGCCTCCAAGTTGGGCGACCAAGGCCTAGAGCGTGCGTGCCCAAGAGCCGAGCCTTGGCTCGCTGGTCAACCCAAAAAAATAAAAAAAGAGACAAAAGAACCATAATACTATTCATCATTATTCACTTATTGTTGAACTATCCCGGATCTTTTAGTTTCTTTATAAATTAGCAAAACATAATTCTGCTCTAATACGGAGATATTGAAATTAAATTAAATATACACTAAATTATCTCTCGAAGAAAAATTGATGAGGTATTTGATTTATTTAAATGAATCAAAGTCGGGTTTAATTGGTTATACGGTTATAGGTTATTTATTTGATATATACAAAACTTGATCACAAACTAATTATGTATTTATACATGATGATACAACTATATCATGGTGTTTTATGAAGTAAACTATAACTGCTACATCTTTAAACTCTATAGAAATACTAGTAATTTATAAAGCATGTAGAGAATATGTTTGACTAAGATTAATAACTCATCATATCCAAGAGATATACGATTTATCCACTAGCAAAGAAGTTTAAAAAAATATTATATGAAAATAATTTTGCTTGCATAACCCGATCGAAGAAATGATACATCAAATGTGACATAACTAAATATATATCACTAATATTATTTTTTACATATGATCTTCAATGAAATAGTGATATTAATGTTTAACAAATCTGATCAAGTGACAACTCGACAAATTTGTTCAATAAAACATTACATATCACAACTTTTGAGAAGATAGTTCTAAAAATTAAGATACATCGTTTTAAAGATTTTAAATAATATTTAAAAAAAAAAAAAAACCCTAACATGAATGTACAAAAAATATTATAATATTTTTTCTTCACTAAATTTTTTTTTCCCACTGAATTTTTTCTTATAAGATTTTAACGAAATATATTCTTTGTACAATAAGCATTCAAAAGAAAATATAATAAAATAATAAATATCCATGTAAATCTTCATATTCTTTTCATATCCTCACCACTTAATATTATTCAATTCACCATGAAAAATTACAAAAAATAATACAATTAATTCAATAATTTATGCACTTTTTAATTATTCATAATCCCTTTTAATTTTTTTCTAATTTTAAAAACTTATTTTTAATACCTATAAATAAGCTTTGATTATTCATGAGTTTGAATTGAAATATTTTTGTAATTTGAAGTTACTATCACTTGTATTAATTTTGTTTCACAATGAAATTATTTTTTTATCATCTCTTCTCTTCGATTCTTTTACTATTATTATTACTATGTTTTCAACAGATATGAAATCTTTAAGATAAATGCAATGCACAAAATTAATTTTTGGTTCCCAAGCTTCAACACCATTGAAAAAGTGCAAGAAAAGCTCCACTGATATTGGAAAGGCAAAAGTATATTTACATGGACAAGGCAAAAACCTGGGTGTCCTAAATAAAAAATAATTAAATTGATATATGATGCAATGCACCTGCAGCTGGGTATAAACATTACAAAACTTCTCTTTTCATTTTCCAAAATCTCCACCATACCTTTGTTCTTTTCATATTCAATTGGGAGCGAAGACAGGCATCGTTGGATGAATGAACTGTGGTCTTCACAAAAAAGACCAGTTTACAAAAGAGAAAGCAATGCAATGGACAGTGTTCTCTTCTGCAGCAAGCACTTTCCATGCAACAGCTTGCTCATACGAAACATTACGCCCCATTGTTGACATGCAAATTCCAGCAGGCAAGCATGCAAATCCCTGATCAGAGAACAAGGACAAGTTTCAGAATTAGGATTTGTAAGGAATCAAGTTTAATGAATGCAACAGGGAGACTTGATTGGGCCAAAATTAACAGAAGAGAAAGCACAGAACACATATTTACTGTAGCAGGGATCTCATTAATCAAACCAACTACAACCATGCCTAACTACCTTATTTTGCTTAGAAAAATTTGGGGAATACACAGAAAAAAACCAAACATTCTCTTAGAATGATCCATCTAATTTTAAGTTCAAAATCATAAGAAAGAGCACCAATAATGTTGTGGATCTTTACTATGCCTTAAAATGACGAGGTGAATTTTAGTAAAGAATCCAACTTGAAGCAAAAAATGTCCAACACGTACTCAACGCATAAGACAAACATGTGATAGGAGAAGGAACAAGACATATTTTACATGTAAAACTTACCTGTTGCATTAACTTTGCAAAGTCTGTAAACAATGCCTTGCGTCCAGATTCATCGAATATCTTATCCAGTGTGATGTCTTGTAGAGCCACTAGAGTTGTCTCCAGCATGTCAAGCCCTGCCTGATTGGCAAAGATGAAAACTGGCAGTGACTGCAACACCAAAAAACGCGTGTGAAAAATCTCTGATGTTATCTGACACTGAAGAACAAAAGCAGTCCTAGTGGTATCACTGGTGTAGCATATGCAATTTTGAGAAGCACTTCGACTAAATATTTGACAGATATGTCGTGTTATTTAATTGGATGTAAATGTACCTCCAATGAACAACATAAAACTGCATCTGCATGCTGCCATAGATGTTTGAGGATAGAATCTCCACCCACAGAATCAGATCTCAGTAATTCTGCTCCTAAATGGTAACTGATCAAGAAAAGAAAAGATCAGAAATTTCTACCAAGCTCAAAATATGATAGAAGATGCATTACAAGATGCTTTAGCAAATTAACAAGCAGATATTCTACTCTAAAACACATAATAACAGTGCAACATATTACAACTTGATTATTATCGCTTCATTACTATTAATATTAATATCGTCACTAAACTGAAGCAGGACTTGCCTATAACTTTGGCAGATCCAGTGAGCCAGGGTTAGAGCTTCAGGAGAGCCCGCAGACAGCTTTGGTCCCAAAGCTGGACTCGATCCTGATGGAGATATGGCCGTGGCAACCCTCTGGACAGATGAAATCACACTACGGACATACTGACGTGCCATAGTGGCAACATTATCTGGTAGATTGCTCTCAAATGGGAACTGGAAGGCAATAGTCAACACTGATCGCAAACTATGACATGATGAACCATCCACTGCAGCATGGTTTGTTGCCAGGCCCACTTCAAGACTTGATGTTAGATCAAGAGTGCGATTTGAAGTCAATGCCTCCTGTGCATCCTTCTGTATAACAACATTAGCATATTGAAAAACAACGTGATGGAACTTCTGGTAAGGCCACAAACCAACACAGGGTAAAATGGAACTTAGACAAATATGTTTAATTTATACGCAATATACTTGATGAATTAAACTCTGGTCCAATGAAGCCAATAGAAAGGAAAAATTATAATGAAATCCCCTCATACTTAACTGTTTTTGATTCCAGTGGAATGATGCGGAAACCAGAGGGTAGCAGTGGAGCATCATCTGGAAACATTTCATCAATTGGAGCAAAAACTAGTTCACAGGCTCCGACAGAATTCTCGTCAATTCCACTACATATCTGCCCAAAACAAAGGAAAGCCATTAAAGCATATGCAGCCCGTTCTTTTATTATAAACACATCCAGTTAAAAAGCATAAAGAAGGCAGCCAAAAGTACAGCATAAAAAATCTTGAGTCCTAAAGAAAGTCTAAGAATTCTGTAAAATAGTTAATAGAGAGGAAACAGGAAACTGATCTCAACTTCAGTATTAAACTAACATAGGAAAACTGTAAGCCAGTCAACTTGGCTACCTTGCCAAGTTGAACATGTGGAGGTTAGCCGTGTCAAAAGAGGGGCACAGATTGCAACTGTTATAGCCACAAAACTCTTTAACACTTGATTAAATAAAAAAAAAAATCTGACTACTACATGCTATAGCAAACAAAGGAAAAGGTAAACAAATAGAGAGACTAAAAATAGCACCTGTAGGAGATGGATGTCCCGTGAAACAAAAGCATCTTCTTGTGCAAAAGAGTGACCTTCAAGTCGAATAACTTCAAGCAACTGGGCACAAGTTTCAGTTAGGAACAAGAGAACTTTAAAATGCATGTTGAGCAGCACAAATGATTGCACTTATTGCAGTATAAGATCTAAATTTAGCAGGGCACAACATTTTTGTTCGGACAAAAGACTCGCCCAGTAAAGCATGACAATGTTTTTGAAATCCCGTAAGGGGACTACAGTAATCACCGAATATGCTAAGGAGAAGCCAACGAAAAGGGAAACCCATAGGAACTCTAAAATGCAATATGGATTGGGATAGCATATCTCATTTTTAAGAAATTACATAATCCTATTGGTTCCATATATCAGCAATGTAGCATGAAAATGAGTATGAAACAATTGGCATCTGAAAACACACCTCTTCTTGTTCAATTGTGTGGCCCAATGGCATGATGATTTGGCTACCAGTAAACCTCATGGGCCTCATCCCTGGATATGCATATGATCCAGCCTTCAACGATGCAGCAGAATAGGCATCAACACTGAAATCAGCCCACTCAGAACGATGCTCCCTTAGGAAGCGAACCAGCACAGCAGGAGGCACATTCTAGCAAGTAAAAGGGAACGAGAAATCAATTTTATCCAAAGACATGTTGCAATAAATTCTTTCTTTTAATCATACACAACTGCTAAGGCTACGTTTGGAATGGGGTAAAGGGGATGACAAGTTGTTTGTAAATTTTTACCCTTCTACTAATGTTAGGAATTATTCAGTATATAACAGGCACTCCATCCTCTTACAAAGACATGGGACTCATGAATTATTTTCATGAAGGGTTCTATGTTTTTGTGAGATAGAGGAAGTACAACTCTTAGCATACGTGATAATTTCTCCACTAATGTTTCGTATGATTTTGGGGAGAAGAGAGAATTTCAAGGGGGTAACGTTTAACCCAAAAAAATAAAAGGTACCTTGTGGAGGGAGAGGTAAAGAAATTTTGAACTAGGAAAATTTTGGTTTTTGTGCCTTCCCCTCACGTTTTTTAATTTAATATTAATTTATTCTTCTTTCACTTCTAATTTGGACTCAAATAAATATTATTTACTTATTTAATTATATTTAATTTTAAATTTTGATTTGATTTATACCAGGATCCACTATGACTCAATTTTTTCAACTCCTATCCAACATCCTTAACACTTTTTCCATCCTCAACACTTCACCCTTAAATGTTACCCCTTTAACGTTTTTCCTCCAAAATTTTAACCCCCTGCCACATGCAACCTAAGATTTCTGCATGATCAATAAAGAGTATACCACCATTTGACATCTCTTTATGCCAAAAGGGAGAAATAACTGTCAGTTGCTATATATTATCTAGCCTCAAACAAGGAAATTTCAACATAAAGACTTTCCACATATAGCAAGAAAGTTTAAAAGGCCACAGAGCATTCATCGAATACCCTGAAAAGATTTTTGTTGTAATTCCAGATATCAGTGATAAGCACAAATAGTCAGTTGAACGTAAATACAAGAGAAACTATAAACAATGTCAAAAGTAGTGGCAATATTAAATAGGTTAGAAATTCCACTTTATTCAACATTCACAGTTAGCACTCAAGACGAAAAAATACAAATGAACAACTTGCTTATTAAATATATCTTTATCATTTCTATGGTCCACAGAAAATTTGTGATCATAATTTCAAAACTTACTTGCAGTAGCATGGAAGCCTTCGCACAAAGAATCCCTCCCAAGAATGAAAGGGAATGAGCAGGATTATTAGCACTGATCAAATTCTTTGTTGATTTAACAGCGATTATTACATCCTCAGCGCCATCAGAATTCATCAGAGACCAACCATCGTCATTAAACCCATTGATGGCATCGTTGAAGCCTCTACAAGAAGTTGACGCAGAACAGAAATAAATTAAATCATACATATGCACACCTCGAATGCTCACATACACGTTAAGACGGTCCACACGAATGTCTTTGCAAGAAGACCACTTAAATTGACAGACAGAGTCATCCAACTACCTGCTTAATCTTTGGCTAAAGGTTCTCAGCACAGCTGGTTGCCTGCCCAAACCATACACCACCTCACCGCTGGTTTCATGAGCTATTTGCCTGACATAACGCAGAGCCTTGAAAGAAACCAGATAATCAGTACAGTAGTGTTGAAACTTGTCTTATCCATGAAAGCCATAACTCCATATGCAGCAGAACAATAAATAAATGGTCTACATGGAAATTATTATAACTTCAAGGATTTCAAACTTGTAAACACACTAACATAACAACATTTAACAAGATAGAACAATATGGCCACAATTGAAAAAAAGAAAAGGAAGAATAGCCTGCAATTTTAAGGCATAAAAGGCATCTCAACCATGTCAAAAAATAATGTAAAACAAATGCAAATTATTAAATCTCTGCAGCCCCTGCCAAAATTGATTGGATAATGAACTGATCAAGGGAAGTAATCTTATGATAGTGGTAAAAAAGGCAAAGATAGTTGAGTCCTTACGACAATGGTTTATGAAAGATGGTCACAGGCTCACAGCAAGAACCTACTCACCGCGATTGTCATTTTCTGTGCCACTGCTTTTGATGATTCATAAAGTGGTCGCAGCACCTCAGGCACGCTCCATGCCTGGAAAAAATATGAAATAAATCAACTCCAACTTATTAAGAGACAGATAATGCCAATTGTCAAAAACTGTACCTGAAGATTCAGGTGATCCACGATGTGGATAATTGATCCTCCTTCACATGGCCTTATCAAATAGCCACTAGGAAGCATTTCAGCCCTCACAAACTGAGCAGCCGCAGCTGCATTTGGGCCAGCACCAGAACCAGAAAGAGATCTCTCACAGACCTTAACATAAGATATACAAGTGAGACATCACATAAGGCCTCTACCATTTAAAAGTAAAGCATTGATTTTGACACTAAAGCTGCATTATCAACCAACAATTATCCATAAGAATAAGTTGAACTATAGAAGACATGCATACCACAAGGCTGCCATTCTCTAAACTTGTAGTATATCTCAGAGTCCAGAAATCCCGAGCAGGAGCCAGAATAGTTGGCGCATATACCTGAATCAATTTCAACTTTCAGTGGTTTTCATGAAGAGCATAATATCCAGAAAGAATAGAAGAGGATATCAAGCCTTTATCTATTCCTGATTACCTGACTGTATACTAGTTCAATTGTTCCACCATTTCCAGCAGGAAACATAGTAAAAACTTCAAGGTTCCGACAATCCCGGAACCAAGATTGACGATCTTTAAGGATCTCTGCAATCTGCCATATATTTTGAAAAAAAAAATCAAATCAAATCAAATAGCTCATATATACGACATTAAAACAAGCAGCCAGTAATAAATGACAAGAAAGAGCTTAAATTATTTACAGAAATGAGTGTGCATGCATACCTTCGAAGGTTCTAAACTTACAAGACCGCAGGCTCTAGCTGCCACTCCACTGCACCTTTGTGAAATGGCAAAGATCCCAACCGAATCCGGACCAGGCTGCCAGCGAATTCAAATGACTCATTCAGGTATGAAAAAAAAAAAGGTGCACAAAAATCTATCAACCAAAAGACTAGTGGAATAGATAAGAAAATAATAAATAAATAAATAAAACCTTCATCCCAGGCATCTGGACCCAATCGACAGCAGTTCCTGTAGCCTTTGAAAGGAACTCCGCCAAGGTCTCCTCTGCTATTGAGAGGAGTCTGCCAAAAGAAAACAAAGAAGAAAAAAAACATGATATTACTTGTACAGCAACCAACAAACACACATCCAGCCAACCACACACAAAAACATAATGGAAAAGAGATCCTGCTAACTGCAATTACCCAGCAGGGTTATTGGCATCTCTGAGTGAATGCTGTGGAGGGGTAACCACAGAGTCACAGCTTGCATCAGTTGCTGCTGGAGCCTGTGCAAAATATCAACTTATGTAAATAGTGTCCAAACACGAAGAAAAGAATGAAAATTAAAGAAATGCTGAATTCATAGAGCTCAATTAGAGCTATTGTTTCAATGACAGCAAAAAATACTTTTGGTTCGACAACAAATTAAGTACCAAGTGGAGCATGAACAAACACAGGAAGAAAGTGTAACAAGAAAAAAAGAGGTGCATAATACGTAAAAAATCACTAGCTTGAATGAAGATAAATACATAATGATAATAAATGACATTCATATACTAGATTTTTTTTCTTGCCCTAGAAGTTTAGACTAGAATTAATTCTAGGACCCTGCAACAATTATCACAGAATCAATGTAATTAACACACATCAAAAGCACCTTCTACACTGTAAAATCCACAGCACATGGCATAACAGTGGCATAACAGTCACAGTTAGAATCACCCAGAAGTGATAGCTAGAGTTACTCTGGGTCATCAAGCCAAATGCATAACCCAAGATCACCACCCAGCACTACACAATTTGGAATGTGGATGGTCGAACACATGGAAACAGCAATTTATAAACACAAGACCATGATCAGAGACTTACAGTTTGCAGTTGTTGCTGCATGAAACCATTTTCGCATACCAGCTGTGACACCTGTTTTTGTAGGCGATCGTTCTCCTCCATCAACAGCTTATTCATTGCCGTCAATTTCCTGTTCACGGTCTGGAGTCTTGAGGACTCTTTTCTCTGCTTCTCTCGACACCTGCACAGCCAAACACCACCTTCTTTCAGTGCCCAAGAAAGTCCTTCATCCCCATTGAGATTCTCTTTTTGTACATCCCAACTCCAACGAATCAAAACCCCATATTAACCACATACATTAATGCATTTCATATGAATGGAAGCACATAAATCCAATGTGAAATCATCACCCAATTCAGGAAAGTTTTTGCACTAATAGCAAAAAGAAAACTTGCAAAACAAACAAAATTCAAGAAATTAAACCCAATTGTAGTAAGGATCTAGTGTTTCTCCCACCTAAAAATATTTAAGACAAAGGGACGCTAGTACTTATTCCTTTACTAATCTGATACTTAACGAAACTTAATATTGGGTACAAAATGTATCAAGGCATTTAGTGTCAAAGGTGTAAACCTTTTTTCAAAAATGTCATTAATCCGGTCCCTCTAATACCTGATCGCCAAGGAATTCAATAAAACGAAAAAAAAAAAAAAAAGAGCAAACTAAATGATTCAAGTAAAATTATTTTCTTTTATCTGAACCTGCGATTTTGAAACCAGACTTTGATCTGCTTGGGCTCAATATTTGACAAAATGGGACACTCTCTAACCAACTGTTGCCTACGCAAAGAACTGGGCTTGGGGCACTCGGCATAAACTCTTTCAAGAGCCTCCACTTGCTCTGTTGTGTACCGAACATACTTTCCATTATCAGTAAGATGCTTGTTTATGCTCCCACTACTACTGCTTTCTCTGTGCTGAGGGGCCACCGCCATCGCCATTTTCACCACCAGATAAATAATCAAACACAGAGACAAATAAAAGGGATCCGCTTTCTTTCTTGGGGAGCAGCTTATCAGTTAAGATTCTTTGTTCTAGGCAAAGTCCGTCTCTTACTCCTTTGCAAGATATAAGAGAGGAGAAAGGAAAAGATGGGTGTGATTCGAGCTTTCCAAAGAAGAATATTGAAACTTAAACCAAAAAAATAAAATAAAATAAACAAAGGGTCTGTAGATAGGCAGGTAAAGGCCAAATGGAGGTTTTTTTCCCTCCTCCTTTTGCAGAGGTTAAGTCCTATGTAATACTAATAATAATAAATAAATAAATAAAAGATAGAGAATCTGCGTGTGTAATTTTGCGAGAAACCTCTCCCCGTTATTAGTTTCAAGAGAAACCCCAATTCCTGCTCTGTACCAAAACCAAAAAACGGAAGCTTTAAAAGAGAGCAAACATCCAAACTTTAGATTATCTCTCTCTCTCGATCTCGAATCTAAAAGAAAACAAAAACCTCAGTTCAGTATCACAAGAATTTTCTCAAACAAGCTTGACTGTAAGAAAGAAAACAAGAAGCTAAGGGCTCTCTCAAGAAAGAGAGCCAGTAGGTGTGACATTAGAGAGCTGCTGCTGCTGCTGTTATGAAAATTACAGAAATGAAGAGAGAGAATGCAACCCTAACCATGAGTACAAAACCTTGCTAGAGAAGAGATTTGAAGGGATTTCATGAGAGAGAGAGAGAGAGAGAGAGAGCGTGTGACAGCGAGTAATCTTAGTCTGAGCTTGAACAGTAAGTGATGAAGAAAAGAAAAGGAGAGAGAAAGAGAGAAAAGAGCAGTTTCATTTTGCACGCAAACCGACAAATTAACTTAGCCAGTGTTGTTGATTTCTTTCCTTTCTTTATGATTCGGTCGGCGCATTTACGTCCCTGTCCCTGTTTCTTCCTAAAATGACATCCTTAGAACCAGAGCCAGAGTTACAGAGGTAGGCGTAGGCGTAGGCGTAGGCCTGCCCTCCCACTCTATATATATATATATATATATCGTATCGTATCGTACATATTAAATTATAAATTAGTACTTTTATTTTTGCAAAAAGTGGTAAATGGTCTTTGGAGTTTTAAAAACTAATTAAATCATTTGAAAACTGTTGATAATATTTAATTTAATATTATTTTATTTTAAAATATTTTTTATGTTTTTTTATTTATTTAAGTAAAAAATATAAATTGAAAAAGAAAATGAAATGGATGAAAAAAATTAAATTACAAATAGATTTAAACATGAATTAATTTTTAAAACTAAAGGTACTGTTTTTGATTTGTTTTAAGACTAATTTATAAATTACTCTATCCTATATCTATCTAATCTAACCTAATATTAAGTAACAAATCCGAATTGAAAGAAAACAAAGCAAAAGAGGTAAATGCTTAAGATTTCTCATAGGAAATTTATAGTTTTAATTTTGACTTTTGCTGTAAATATAATTTTGTAAGTTGTGACTGTTAGTTATGATTATAAAAAATATATATTTGTTAAGTTAAAATAATTTTATGTCATACAATATTGAAAATCTCAAAAGCTCTATTTTGTAACTTATAAATTTTTATTTTCAAAACAGTTTTTAAAATTTTACCCCCTAAACTTACATCATTAGAATAAATTAAGGCAAACAACACCCACTAGATTAAAATTCGGTAGTAAAATTCCGAAATTTTCACTCAATCCTCACTGAAAATTCTGCAAAAACAATTAACAGCACAAAATTTTCCAGAGTGTAGAATTACTTTAAAGAATTTCACTAGTACTAGCTAGGGTTAAATTTAAGTTTTAGGGATTGGTGGTGTCTGCCTACACTCAACAATATCCAGGCCTTTTTCTAGATTTTCTTTTTCTTTTTTGGTAGCGTAGGGAAGAATATCGCGATGGCTGGTCTTGTAGGAAAGTTGTTTGACGACTGTTTTGTTTTTTCTCTGCAGCATGTCTGTACGTGGCAACTTTACAATGACTTTTGAGTTCTATTTTGTCTAGACAGTTTTCGATTTTATTGGAAACTGAAAGCTTCGACTTAAACTAAATAAATACTCATAAAACTAATGGGAAGATGAGCTTATTAATGCCCACAATGCTTTCATTGACACCAACCTCTTGGTGTAACGCTGATTGAATTTCTTATAAAACAATGGTGTTAGAGTTCAAATTTATCCACGATATGACACACACACTTTATGCCTCGACTTTGATATAGATACGGTGGTGGTGTTTTTTGCATTAAAAAAAATAGTATGATGTAAATATAATATTCTTCATGATTATATGTGAAATAATCTATTTATTTTTTCATTTTTTTTGTAATAAAAAACTATGGTTTGTTAACGATAGTCTAACGAGAAATTTTATATTACTTATACAATAACTAGTGTAAATTACTACATAAGAAAGATATAGATACAAAAAAAATAAAAGATTAAAAAAATTAAGTTGATGTAGAAATTTTTTTATCACTTTTAACAAATTTAGATATAATTTTCTCTATTTTATTATGTATATAATTTTTTTTCAAAAACAGACCTATAAAATAACTACTATACATATATGTTAATTATTTTTTAATTATTTTAAAATTTCTAGTAGTACAACTACGAATCGTAAACTTTTCTATAATTTGTAGCTAAATTAACATTGATATATGGGTCAGTGGTAATTCTTTGAAAGTAATAAAGCGATTGACATTTGAGATTTTCACTTAATCATCTATTTAGAAAGCGAGAAACAAATGAAAAGAGTGAAATCAAGGAATTTTTATTTTCCATAATTATACATACATACATAAAACTAAAGTAAAACATAATTTTATTATTCATTTTTATTATTCGAAATACTGTTTACACACTTATAAATCATTATTCCTTTCATTATTCATGTCTTTTTTTAGCACTTTGGTCCTCAATTTTTCTATACCTTTTTTCTTTCAATTTCAAACTTTAATTGTATTGTGATTTGATCATATTATGTTTTAATGTTTTTTCTAGTTATTTTTATTATTTAAAATGTATTACTTTAATTTGTCTTTTTTTAATATAGTCATATGTTATTAATATTATGATCATATTATAATAATATTATTTTTCTATACTAAGCATTTACTATTTATTTATTTATTTTTGAATTAAATAATTAAAATAATGTCTTGGCTTAACAACTCATTGATTCAAATTAATATTTTTTTATTTTAATATTATTCATTCTTTTGTAAATAAATATATAAAAATTAAATTCATATTTTTTTATAAACCAATATTCTCATCAACATTAAATAAAAAAATTTATCTATTCAATTCTATGTAAGTTTTTACTAATTGTTATTTATGTTTATCGATACAATCTTATGAAATACTAAAGCTTTTTTTAAAAAAATATTATTTAATTTTCTTTTTAGTTAATAATCCATGGATTAACAAGGATAAATTCTTTTTTCTAAAGGAAAAATTATGAAAAACACAAATAGGAAATAGTTAAATACAAAAATTTTTATTAAAAAATTATAAATAAATTTTTTCACCTTTGATTTTATATATTTTTATAAATTCATACCATAAAACAAAATATCAAACTCGAAATGATTTTTCTAAACGATTTTATGTATTTTATTCAACCCGCAAGCATACCGTGGGCAAAAAAACTAGTGACTCTCTAAATCGGAGAGAAAGTAAAGAGATTGCCAAATAAAAGTTATTCGTTTTTACATTTTTACTTTTATTTGAATTATTTGCATAAAGATGCTTTTGAGCTAGGAAACCAGAAAATATAAATAATATTCGTAGAAAAGTCAAATGTAATTGGTAAAATTGGGTTTAATGACACTGAAGGCCCATGTGGTATCGATTTTTAATAAAGATATTCGGTGATTTCTATTTAAACAATTTAGTTTTCATGAGTTGGTCCGATAACAAGTAAAAGTTTATTCGTCAAATCAATTTTCTATCAATTTTAACTTTTAAAAGAAATAAAGAATCATATCGTATTTTTATTAGTTTTAATTTTTTTTAAAAAATAAGAATTAATCAATCAATTTTAAAAAAATATATATTGAAACTTTTTGTCAAGTTTTTATTTATTTACTGCTAGGAAAATTTTGTTCAAATTTTTGTTCACACTAGCAAAATATTTTTATTTTGTTTTAAGAAGTTAAAAAACAAATAAATCTTTTTACCGTTAATTTTTTTTCCGGTTATTGCAAACAAATTAGCAAATACAATAGGATATTTGGGTCTTGCAGATAAAATGACAGCCTAATAATATCCAATGAATAATAAAATGACAGATTTATTGATGAAACACACTTAATCACGGTAAATATGTAATTTTTTTATGGGCATGATTTTCTAAATTAATTTCTCATGAAAGTTTTGGTTTTATGATTTCGAGGGTTTCTCATTTTTACATAAAATTTATTTCTTTCCAAAGGCTTTTCTTTGCCTTTATAAAAAAAAAAAAAATCCAACATGAATAAATAAATAAATAATAGCTAAAAAAACAAAAAAAAAATCATAAGTAAAGAAATTTTGGCTTTTTAAAATAAATTATAAAAAGTTTCCAACATAAATAATAATATTAAAAAATCCAACTTTATATAAATAAATAAATAATCAAAATTTTTAATACTATTTTATTTAACAAATTATTCAAGTTTTTTTCTAAAATTGAAATCCATAGAAATTTGATTCGTATCCATCCTTCGTTTTAAATGTCAAAATTATCAACCAAAAAAAGATGACTTGACAATTGAAAGGGAAACCTCTATTGCCAGGTGTATTAAAGCCCAATGGCCCAGGCTGTCCAAATTAAAACCACAATAATGTTTTTTTTTTATCAAAAATAATACTAATGACTTTTAATGTCATTAAACCGATAAAATTGTAATTTTCACGTCACAATTTCTTATTAAAGCAACTTTTTCACCAGCTTTCGCTAGATAAACCCACTATTTACATCTTATGGTTTCACCG